TATTTTTGGTATTCTCTGGGGACTTTGTTGTTCTGTTCCCCTTGCTGTTCTATTGCACACCCTTAGTGTTTTGTCTCAGTGTGGTAAGGTCAAATCGAGTGCAGTTTCCACACTGTGTCTCCAGTGTTTTCCCCTGAAGTGCTATGGGTCAGTGAGAGATGGCCGGCCCTATAGTCCTCTCTTTGCTTTGGCTGCTCTGAGCGGGAATATCGTCCTCAGGGCTTGGTGGCCCAGGATGTGCTCCACTCTCTCTTCCTTCCCCTTCATTTGCTCTCATGTGCTCTGATCAGACATGTCCCTCTCCCTGAGCTGTAGCTTCAGTGCTGTCTCTGAAGTGAATTTTTCTGTGGGAAGGAAGTGCTGTCCATGTAGTTGGGATTGGGGCCGGCTCCTCAGACCTTTCTATTGGTTTTTGAGGATACTTATTAAGTACGCTTTATCATAATGAAAATTTAGGAACAACCAAAAGGTTCAGCAGTATAAAAATGTCATTCTATTCTATAGAAAGGACAAAAGAAATTCAAGACATTCAGATTTTTTTAATCATTTAACATTCAGATTTTTTTAAAAAGGAGTGAAACTGTCCTTATTCACAGATGACATGATTTTATGTATTGAAAAGTAAAATCTACAAAGAAAACACAAAAGTAATTAATAAGGTTCAGTAAGGTCTGAGGCCAGGCAGTCACTCTATACAGATACCTGTCATATTTCTGTGTATTACCGGTGAACAATATGACAATGAAACTAAGAAAAAACTTCTATTCAAATTAGTATAAAAAAGAATAAATACAAATTAGTATCACAAAAAATACTTAGGAATATGCTAAACAATAAATGCAAGACTTAAAAACGATAAAAATTGTTAGTCATTTTTGTCAATGTAATGCCAATCAGAATCTCAGCAGATGCTTATTTTTAGAAATTGGCAAAACCATAACCAAACCCCTTGCCATCCAGTCTATTCTTATTCATAGCAACTTTACAGTACAAGGTAGAACTGCCTACGTGAATTTTCAAGACTATAACTCTTTACAGGAATAGAAAGCCTCATCTTTCTCCCATGGAGTGGCTTATAGTTTAGAACTGCTGACCTTGCAGTTTGCGGCCCAACACTTAAACTCTTATGCCACCAGGACCCGTCTGAGGAAAGGGGAGTTTTTCAAAACATGTTGCTTGAAGGATATCTACATACAAAAAAGATTAATTTAGGCCTTTACCTCACACTATATATAAACATCTAAAAATGATTTTCAAACTGAACTTAAGAGCTAAAATGTTTAAAATGCAGGAAAACAATCTTTCTAATCTTGAGTTGAGTAAAGAATTCTGAGCTCTGATATCAAAACCACAGTGCATAAAAGGAAATTCTGGTAAAATAGACCTTACCAAAATTTTAAATTTCTTCTCTTTTAAAAGACACTATTAAGAAAATGAAAAGTTAAGGAGATACCATTTGCATATTATATTTAAGAGCTATTCCAATTTAATAATTAAAAAAAACAATTAAGACTTGGATAAAAGATTTTAATAGCTATCAATCCAAGGAGACATACTCTCATTACCATTGGAGAAATGAAAATCATAATCGCTGCACACTCCCTAGACTGCCTATCCCAAGAACACAGACAGACCAATTCCAATGTTAGTGAGACTACCCAAATTGAAAACATTACACATCCCTGTTGCGAGAGGTGTGGTGTAAAGTGGAAAACAGCTTGTGGTTTATTAAAGGTTCAGTGTAATGTGTTGGAGACTCAGCAGTTCCCACTCTTAACATGTCTACTCACACAGAGACTTGTATGTCGATGTTCATAGCAACATCATTCATCATACACAAAACATCAAGACAGTTCAAATGATGATCAACTGGTAAACAGATAAAGAAAATGTGGTACACTCAAGTACTCCCTCAACACAAGAATACTTTCTTGTAGTAAATTGGCATTCTATGATGCTCACCTTCCCGACACAACCGCTGAAGACAAAGCG